ATTGTAATTCATATTTGTCTTCAATTAAAAATCAACGAATGTTATCTTTATATCCCTATACAATAAATACTTTATGTTGATGATAACCATTTCAGCATTAATGATACTCTCAATTGTTGTGAACCATTTGTAGTTCTCCAAGAGGGTACAACGAGTTTGGATGCAATGTTGACCATGGATACTTGGAAGTATTCTCTAGAGGTGGAATTGATTTTTTTTCGTTTTTGATCTTCCTATTCGGATTTATAGATCCCTGAATGTCAGCATGTAGGTTTTGGATCCAAAATTCTGTGCATTTCTCTCATGAAAAAAGAAAAACTACATTTTTGAAAAGCATATAAGTATCTCTGAGATATGATCTAAGGTATCTCTAAAAAATGTTCAACCCGATCTAACAAAGTTAGATGGAAGTCGTAAACTGGCTTCATTTGGTTCTATGAAGATCAGAATTTCTTGAAAAACTTCTTTTTATTCGAACAGATGTGTCCTTATCTTGGGGTGTGGATGTGCGTGTGGGATTGGAATGCCACTTCATTAATACTCACACCCATACCCACCCAAACCCACACTCAATCTGTATAATCTTGAGAAAGTTTGTTTATTTATTAATTCTTTATTTGATTTTCTACAGTAAAACTTCTCGAATGTTAATATTGTTAAGACCAATGAAAAATACTCCCCGTACAAAAATGCTCATTTAATGGAAATGTTTTTGTTTCTTTTTTTGGAATCTATAGATATTCAGTTGCAATCGTTTTTCTTCTTTCTAACAATTAATTAACGTAGCATTTTTGATCAGAATTAAATCAACTCGTGTTGACACAATAAGATCTTACTAATTGTTAACACACAAATGACAAGATGTTACACCAAGGACTAATAATTGTTTATCATAATACAATGCACATAACAGTGTTCTTTCCTTGCTCTCCACATAAAAAGTGATAGAACATATTTTGCTCACATTACAGAGGTTGTTATTGGAGATTAGACCAAAAATAAGTGTTCTCTGCTCACAATAAGAAGATGCTCATACTTGAAAGACTCATTTCTAAGAAAATTCATTTGAGTGGACTATAGAACTGGCAAGTATAAGGATATGCATACGTATAGAATTTTTACTGTAACTGAAAAATTCCAAAAACGATCACATTATATTGATATATCATCTTATCACTAGTGTATATACACATTGCCACCAGATATTATATTTCTCGTAGTTATAGATATGTCAAGAATAGAAACAAAAAAACTTTTAGTTGATAACGGACCGTCAACAAGATCAATGTTTGTCTTGACATATGTGTTCGTCTGAAAAGGTAACGGTTTTTTTTCTTTAATCTTTCTAAAGAAAAACTAAAGAATTCTTTCAGTTTATGATCAGATATAGTCAGTGTGTCATCGCTCCGAAGTCTTGTCATTTTTCTTTTATTTCTTTTCTTTTCATTTTTTTTGATTCAATGAAACAAATGTCATACACATATATACTCTCTCTTAAGTGTGTTCATCGTTGGCATATTCATTCTGATAAAATTTCTTTTCTTTATTAACAATGAAAACAAGTGCAGATATAATATAATCATGATGAATAAAAAATGACATAAATCATCATTATCATTGTCGATAATATCATCGTTCGTCTAATTTTTTTTATTCATTTAATGAAACAATTCTTTGTATGTGTTTTGTGTATTTACTCAAACGGAAAGAAGAAAAAAAAAGCCAAACTAGAAGAAGAAAACAAAAAGGGAAAAATTCAGTAACTCTATTTAATATTGTCTATTCTATTTGTCGTCTAACACATTATTCTTTCACTCTACAGCCAGAAGCACACATCAACTATAGAAATCAATTGATTTGTAACACCTACATTTATATAACGACTTTACCGTTTTCCTGAGAAATAGAATTATAATGCTTTCAAGCACTGATTTTAAAGAAAACAAATATGCCCTATGGGCTGATTCTTATTGATGTGTTTAACACATCACTCACACATTGGAAACTAACAGACTTTTCTTTCTAAATAGACAACATGAGATAGGTGCTTCTATTCTTAATGTATTTTCTCTTACACATCCAATGAAGTGTTAGAATTTCTATCCAATAGAATAGTGCATGACTTGCGATTTCCAAGTTACTAAAAACTTGATGAATTTTTATTATTCAAATCAATCACAAAAACAACAACAACAAAACTTCTTCTGTTTCCTTTATGATAATCATATAAACGTTAAATAATTGATTTGATTCTACTTGCTAGTAAGTTAAAAAATTTAACTATAGATTCAAGAGAACCACCTATAGTAGAATTAATTTTATCCTCTTGTGTTTTGTTTTTTTATTCTTTTGAATTCATTTTTGTCTTTGAACAAATTATTAATAAGAATGAGGTTTTTTTCTTGATTAAGATTTTGTTGTAAAAAAAATAATCAACTAACCTTTCTGGTTCACTACTATCGAAGATTCGTTTATAATCTTGTAAATAAGTATGAAAATTTTGAGTAAATCCTTTGAAGGAATCTAATGATTCGAGCGTAAGAATTTCTGACCATATACGATCAGTAATCCATTCTGGTGCTGGATTTGGTATGTCAAGTGGACGTATCGAGCCACCAGCCAAAAAGAATCGATATTCACGCTAAATATAAAAGACAAAATAATATAACGCAATTTAAAGAATTTTTCTTTCTAGTTATTAGTTGTTTTCTTTTTTTAGATATATGAAAATTATTGCGACTAAATATTATCATGAGTACTAATCCATGTTTATCAAATGCTAATGGATCGACTTGTTCCGACACATTACATGATATTGAAGTAGCCGGTTATCGTTATGTTATGTCAACAATATGTATATTTGGTGTTGTATGTAATATACTTAATTTATGCGTTCTTCTTCAACGTCGTCTTAAAGAGTCACCGTATACTTATTTAACCGGTTTAGCTCTAGCTGATATGCTTACACTTATTTCAATGTCTCCAGTATCTATTGTACGTGGTGATTATATTCGACATGAAAATATTTTCTTTACTTTAACACGTCTCCAAATTTATATCTATATGCCATTAGCAAATTATTTTGGACAAGTAAGTATAATGATAACAGTTGCATTAACAGTTGAACGTTATTTATTTACAACATATCCATTACGTACACAAAGTTTTTGTAAACCAACTTATGCTCGTCGAGTTGTTGCTATTATATTATTACTTTGTGCTATTTTAAATATTCCAAGATTTTTAAGTGTAGCAATTGATAAACGTATGGGATATCAATATATGTTTAATTCTTCATCATGTATGACACATCCATTTATAATTAAATATTCATCAACAAATAGTGCACATATTGGTCAATGTTTTTGTGTTGTTAATAAGAAAAAAGCAGGTTTTTCAACATTTGAAAATTATTATTATTATACAATGTTACTTATCAATCAAATATTACCATTTGCTATATTACTTTGTTTAAATTTAAGTTTAATAAGACGTGTACAAATGTCAAATCGTTATACATTAGCAGAATTAATAGCACGACAACATACCAATATCGGTTCCGCAACACCAGTAAATACAAAAAAACAAAAACGTTTACGTGATGAACAACGTTTAACAAAAACACTTGTTGCTGTTGTTATTGTTTTCCTTATATGCAATACATTTACAATAATATCCTATCCTGGTCTTGTTGGATTTATAACAAGCAAAAAATATCCAAATTACCTTAATGCTGGGTTTCGTATACAAAAATTAATAACCAATATTATGCTATTATTAAATTATTCGATAAATTTTTTTTTCTATTGTGCATTTAATCAAAAATTTTTGAATACATTAAAAGAAACATTTCGATATCAAAATTTATTTTGTGGTTTAAAATCATCTGAACATCGAACTTTATCAACAACTTCATCAATAAATATAAATTCAAAAATTTTTACAACGAATAAATATATATCACGATACCATGAAAGTCCACAAGAAACTAATAGACCACGAAGACAATATTCGAAGAAAGAAGATTTTTAAAAAGAAAACAAATCATCGAAGATAAACTGACAATTAATTATGATTTTGAGGGTATACGTGTTTTGTTAAAAAGAAATGATATACATAGGTTTCGATTGATAAATACTTAAAAGAAAAACGTGTAATTTGTTTTTTTGTCGTATAGAATGATAATAAAATGCTTTGAATAATATTAAAGTTTTGACATTTTGATAGAAGAAATTCGAATAAGAACGCTAATTTTTTTGATGTAATTCGAAATTCTAATCGATTATTCCCTTAAAACTTATTAAAATTCTCTAAATAACTTTTAGTCATGTTTAACTAATTAATATTGGAACATTGAATGATTTTTCATCATCTATAGAAATTGAGATATAACAAATCATTCTTAAAGATGCATATGAATAGAAAATGATGAATAACATCTAAGAATCAGTTTGTATAGAAATAGTTTGACTGATTAAAATATTAGAAAATCCAACATGACTGATTCAAGTTTATTCTTTGCATGGTTTGCGGTAAGAAGCTAATTATATCTGTGATTGTTTTATGAAGAATTATTTCTTAGCATGATGAGTCAATCAAGATTTCTCTTCTTTTAAAACTGATAAATACTTCTCAACCATAAAAATGTAAAAAAAACAAGCTTTTAATTTATATAAGAAAAACTCGATATCTCGTCTGATAGATTTTCCCTTGAAGTACAAATCCAATTTTAGTACATGATAATTAAGTACAAGAAAACAAGGCTTAAACATTGCACTTGATCTCTGATACTTTATATTTTCATGTCATTTACAAATCATGTTGAAAGAATTTGTATCTTATTGTTTTTGTAGATATGATATTATTTATATATGTACGACAAAAAAAACAAAACAGATAACGTCTTCTATAAATATTTATCTATCGAAAACATGGTTAAAAAACAATTTTATGGCATTATATTTATATTCTATAATAAATATATATATACAAAATCAATCTTAACTCACCATTTGTATTTTCTTTTGATTCATTAATATTCGTACAGTTAGTAAGAATGCAAATAATAATTTATGTTTTTCAAATAAACTTCGACATACATTACAATAAAGACTAAATGTAAAATAATCATTTATATTTTTAATACGTTTTTCCAAAACATCTAAAAAAACGAAATTCAATTTTCTAATTTTAATAAAACAAAAAAAAAATAAAAGATAAATTTTCTACCTGCACGTGGTGCACTTTGAATACTTGTTAAAAATATATTTGTAAACCATTCTAATGAATATTGATACATAGGATCCACATTAGCTAAATCGGATACACAGAAAAATAAGATTTGTGTATTAACAGCAACAGGAACATATTCAGCACGAGTCATATCAATATCTTTTTCTGTTTGTTCAGCTGCTTGCATTTTTGTCTATAGAAAATGAGATCTTTATTTTTTTTTCTAATTATCGAAAATAAAAAAACAAACTTTAATTTCAGTTGATTTTGCTTTTGATGCTTCAAGTGCAGTTATTAATTCAATATCATCAACAGGATTTTCACTTGTACTTAATTTTTCAAGTATTGTATCTTCTAATGCTTTTAATTCATTACGCATAGTTGCATTTGAAATAATTAATGTATTTTTCATTTCTTCTAAATCTGGACGTTCTTCAGCAACAACACGAGCTAACATTTGATCTTCCAAACCACTAAAAGAAAAAAACTTCAATCGATTTCTTTTAATTTTACACACAAAAGAAATTTTACCTTGGAGATAATGTAAAATTAACTAATGTTACTTTAACTGATATTTCAGGTGAATAATGTGGATTAGGTAATTTAGTTGTAATATAAAAACGAAAATCATCATGATATGGTATAACAGCATCACCTAATTTAATAACTGTACTACCCGATTGACGATATGTCTAATAAAATAGAACAAAATAATTTTGGTTTTTCTAGGTATATAAAGATTTTACTTGTCTTAAAAGAACAGGTTCAAGAGCTAAATAAAATATAAGATAAAAATTAGAAAATTTGTTTTTTTTTGAAAAAAAAAAGAAACTACAAACCAGGATCCATATCAGTTCCAACATTTTCTAATAAACAAGGTTTACCAAAACGAATTGAATTTTCAAGTGTACGTAAATAATCACGATCAGATAATTTCATTACATCAAGACCAGTATTCTTTTCCTAAAATAATATAAAACAAATTGTTAGCACAATTCATATAGAAGTAAAATGTCAAATTCGATGTACCTACTTTTGCTAACCCCAGGGGATATTATTTTATTCTAGCTATTTCAAAATACATTTCTTTATTATTCTTTTACTTAATCCTTCAGAAATGCAATAAGGATGTATTTCATTTAGTATAATAAGACGTTATTGATATACAGATTGTGAATATATGTTACGGTCTAGAACGAAGGAGTTCTTTGCTAAAATGTCTCTGATTTTCCTTCGTGAGCTAATGTCTATCACGATTTCTGAGCAGTTCAAATGCAAGTATACCGTTTTCAGTACAGAACGGAATGTATGTAGACCACAAGGAAAAGACTGCCCCTATCTAATAGTGTATGTATAATCAGATTATATGGTGTACCCGTGCCCTGTCAATAGTGCGTACTAAAATCTGATAATGAAGATTAATAAAGTCTTTCTCTAGGTACCTAAATATATTCCTTTTTGCAGTCAAAAACTAATAGCCGCTTTTTCACCCGTGAAAGTGAATACTCTCAGCAGATCATGTTATGTAAAAAATCATCGTATTAAAAATTATTCTTCATTTGTTTTTACCATATTTTTAATCCATTTATTAGCTTGTCCTTGAGGATCAATAAATAAAGACCAACGATTTGAATATTGAACAATAACACCATTTTGTACAGATAAATTATCTTTGGGTAAACCAGCTAATTGCCAATTACGAATTTTAACAGCATCACCAAGTACACGAACTAATTCAGGATGTTCAGTATGTGGAACTTGATATGCTGTTAATTTAGTTATCCATTCTTTAACCATATTATCACGATATTCAGCCTAAAATAATTATTGAAATAATTTAATTTTAAAAATTCAACTAGAAAAATTTTTTGTTTTACAGTAAATGGACCAAGATAAGCAACGAAACCTGATGATACAAGTACATCACCAATAACATTTTCTAATGAATGATCAAGCATTGAGACATTTTCTTGCCAACGAACTTTTTCATCCCCAAGGCCAGTCGTTAGCTATTTCAAACGAAAACATATATATTTTTCAATATTAATAAATTATTTCACAAAAAAAGCTATTCTCGAAGTGAATTAATATCTTTACAAATAAAAAACTGAAAATTTTTTTCTAAACTTACACGTTCAGCTCGAACAATTCGTTGATTACATTCATCAACTTTAGTTTCATATTCATTTTTTTTTCTAACAGCATCTTCATATTTAACTTGTAATGTTCTTAAACCTTCTTCTAATTTTTTTAATTCACGTTTTTTAGTTGCTAATTCTTCTTTAACAACAGCTAATTCAGATTCAGCATTAGCTAATGCTTCTTTACGTGGTGCAACTTCTTTATTAATCATATAAAATGAATACATAGCTCGACTCCACATACATAATGATTTACATGCTTTTGAAGTTTTTTCTATTTTAATTGGATCAAAATCAGGACTATCAATATGTTTTTGTAATTTTTGTATAACAATTTCTGGAATATTTTCTTTATCAAAGTCTCTTAATGATTGAAGAAATTTTCCAGCATCACCTAATAAACCACGACCTGGTTCCCAATAGTCATCTTCTTTTTTACCTGGTTTATTCGGTACAGGTACTTTTAATGGTTCAACTTGTTTTAATATGCAAACAGCTTCCATTGTTAATTTGACACCTGGTGGTGGTCGTTGTAATGCACGTACTTCATTAATATCATTTTTCGATAAAACTTCAAGACTTTGTAATGCAGCTTCAAGTGCTGGCAGAGCCTCAGCTAAACGATCGGATGCTTCACTTGCAATAGCACGTGTTTCTTGTACTTTTTTTAAAACTTGTTCTTCTTCACTAGCTACTTTTGTTTTTATTACTTCCGTATTTGTTGTATCTTCAGCTATTTTAGCCATTGTTTCATTTGTTTCATGTACAGCTTGATCAAGTAATGGTAACATTTCATTTAATTCAACACGTAATTTAGCAACATCTTTTTCTGTTGCTAATAATTTATCTAAGCCAGTTTTTGTACGTTTTTTAGCGAAAACTAATTCATCTTTCTTTTTACCAAAAATTTTTGAAAATATATTTAATAATTCAAGATATGATGTTGGTGTAACATAATTATATCGACTCATTTCTTCACGATATTTGTTAGTCATATGTGCTACAGATTGATGAATTTCTTGACATAATTTAACTAGACCACTAACAACACTATCATCAGCTTCTAATGTTGGCATATTATTTAAATAAGTTTCAGCAACAGCTTCTAATGCATCTTTCGGCCATTCAGAATACCAATCAATTGTACAGCAACTAGAAATATATGTTGAATATTTTAGAGAAGAAAGAAGAATATATTCGAATTTATTTTAAGAAGAACGTATGAGCCATATTTAAGGGTTTGATTTTAAAAGATGAGTGCAGCATGATACCCGATTAGATATTTAACTACAATATCTGTTCGATCATTTTCAGTCATCATGATTGAATGACTACGTTGTTCGACATGCATTCACAAGGTACTATGTTTAAACCTTAGTATCAACAGCATACTTCCAGATTAAAGTCTCTGCTGTTTTCTCTCGAACTGAACAAATCGCTAACATCTATTTGTTTCGGATTACGTCTTCGATAGCATGCTAACTACGTTGTGAGACACACATACTCTTATAGTCATGCATAAGCAAAGCTCAAGTAATTGAGCGTTAGAACGATTTATTAGGCTAATCTTTTGTCCTGAGGTGCAGCTAGTATTAATCGTCAGAAAGATCTCGGGCTACTAAATATGTCACTAGAAAGGGCTCCACACTACGAAGTACCGAAAAGGCGAGAGGCTGAGTATTCTTCCTTACTCTCTTCATTTTCTTCTCAATTATTTCAATAACTCTTTGAATATCATTAGAAAAGATCTTAAGCATCGTTGTTGTCTACTGATTTTTCTAAAATAAAAATTTCGATTTTTAGCTCAAACTTACTTGACTAATGCAGGAAATTGACGAAGTCGTGCACGAAAAACTTCACCAATAGGACTAAAAAATTTCGTTTTTTTTTCTTATTTTAAAAATCAATTTATCTTTATTTTTACCTCATACAAACAACACTATGAAGATTTTGTCGGACACGTTTTGTATAAGCTGAATAAAGATTAGTTTTTGTTGGTGGTAAACCTGCTTCAGATACAACAGGTTTCATTGCTGTATAAATTTGTTCAAGTTCATCAAATTGATATATATTTGGTACATCACCACTATTTAATATATTATTAAGATCTTCAAGAAATGATTCACTTTTGATCTAAATACATACATAAATATACATAAGATTGATTTACATTTATAAAAGAATAAAAAAATAAATTTTATTACTTGTGTATCGGAAAAGAGAAAAACAGTTGCTGTATTACGAAGACCAGCATGTAGCATAAATTTTCTTAAATCATCTTTCCATTCGGTTATACCTATGACAGCAAAACAAAATTTATAAATGATTGTAATTTAATTAGAGCAATTTTACCATAGCTTTTTGATAATTGAATCGAACGAATTTCATATTCGGCACTAGAATAGACAACATCAATTTTATAAAGAGTTTCTTGAATACAGTAAAAGATATTGGTATAAACTTTTCTTTTATAATGAAATATAAACAGTGTCGAGAATTTCAGACAAGTATTCTTTTTTACTGTTCATTCACATGTACCCATAGCCACCATAGACGATCTTTGAGGAGTCTGGATTACGAAAAATGATTCTAAGCTATTGATTTGGAAATTGTAATTTTTATGTTAGTTTACTTCTCAGCATTCAAAATTTTAACGGCGGATAGACCTTAATTAGCTGTAGACATCTACACAATTAACATAAATAAAAGTTCTAACTAAATCTATACTTTGAATGTTTCAATACAATTGATACTGTGGATGTACGGAATTCAACTATTCTTTTAAAATTCATATAATTACAAGTATATATTTATCAATTTAGGACATCTATTAAAAATACATATTGATCATGTTTCAATTACTTGACTAAGCTATTGTATTTTATTTTTTACAAAAGCATATGAGAAGAGAACTAAATCTGATGTCAAGACTATTGAAAACAAGATTTCCTACAAGGCTTTAGTTACTAGATGTTGAATATAATATTTTCAGAGAATTGTGAATAGTTTTTAAAAAAATATCAGATAAAACTTTTTCATATTTCGAAAAAAATAAAAATCTGTTCGATTTATTACATGAATGCAGCAAGTCGTGTAAGTGATTGTCGTCCAGAACCTCCAACACCTAATAATAATGCATTGCCAAGTGGTTGTTTAATAATACGTATAATTCTCGAAATATGTTTCATTGCATCCATAAATAATACTAAATTCATTTTAGCAACATTAACTTGATTATATTCTTCTAAATAATCATCTAAACGTTTTCTCATCTAAAACAAAAAAGAAAACAATATTTCAAAGTTCAAAAAAAAAAGAAAATAAAGTATTACTTACCACTTTTAAATCATCTATTTTTTGATAAGCTCGATCACCACTATGAGCAACAAAATCTCCATAAAGTACTGGTTCTTGTACAACATCATTAAAATTGACATGAAAATCAGCTACCATACGTTCACCAAGTAATGAACGAAACCAATCTCGATCTTCATCATTAATTAAACGATCTTGAAATACACGACAATTTTCATGATACCATAAACAAAGAAGATTTTCAACACTCTAAATAAAACAAAAGTTTAAAATTAATTATTACAAGTTAAAACCTATTAGCACAATTCCTGCGAGACTAAGATATCAAACACAATGTAGCTGTTATTGTTAACCATAAGATGATTATTTTATTCTATTTATGTTCAAATACATTTCTTCACCATCAGTTTACTCAGCCGTTCAGATATGCTATTAAACAAGCGCTTCATATATTATAACGAGACAGTCTGTGACAAGGGCAGACATTGTCAAAATGTCAGTCGTGATTAGTGTCCGGCATGACTCACGTTTATCATGACCACTATCGTAATTGTGGTCAGTATGTCTTTTAAAAATCGTGACCGTGCCTGAAATTTGATCAAGGATAGTCATATGTCACTAATTGTTACAAAAACAAGTAAACAATAGCACACATATATAATACTATTTCATTCAATCGAATCGAATTAATTAAGAAAATAGTTTTCTTCTTATTGATTAGTAATCGCAATCTTTTTTGTTCATTTTTCTCTTTATCAAACTATCGCCACACTCAATATTGTTCAAGACCAGAGTTCGCAATTCACGATAAACTAGCGAGAATGACCGTCATCCAAAAATTTGGTTACATAGAGAACTAATCCTAGTCTTTGACGAGTATAAATTTCTACCGTAGATATATATATATATTTCAACACTCTTTTCGGATTCTGTTTCAGAAAAACAGAGGAAAACATATAATCTTACATCGACTTTTTTTGATTCCATCATTAACATTCCTTGAAAAACTTTTGATAAATCACGAAGATTAAATGTATAATGTGATTTGCTTGGTGTTGGTAATAATGATGCACAAACTGTTTTATATACTTCAATTGATGACATAATTAATTTATCACTAATATTTAATAAAAATTCATTTTGTCTTGACCACCAATTAAATATAGTTGAAAAAATTTTTTTCATACTATCATTTTCAAGTTCAGTAAATGAAAGAAAATTAAAATGACGTGTTAAACGAGGTGTGACAGGATTGCGACCACCACTATTAATGAAATAAATTTAGTTTTTTTTTCTTGTTTTATTTTTAAAATAATTTGTTTTACCCTGGTGGACCCATAGCACAAACAAAATTTATATCAACTAAAGTACGAAATTCACCAACAACTTTTCGATCATACCATCCTTTAAAATCCATATATTGTCGAATTAATTCAATAGGTGGTTGTGCACCATAAGTTTCTAATGCTGGCATATTAAGATCATCAATAAAGAAAAGAAATACTTTGCCAAGTGGTGGACCATATATACCACGACGTCTAAAAATAAAAGGATTATTTTATTTTATTTTTTTCATTATAGTTTAAAATCTAAACCTTTTATCTAATTTCGAATCAATTAAATCTTGTGTTTGATTAGCATTTGTTTTAGCTGAAAAAACAATAAATTCCGGACTAAATTCTTTTGGCATGGAACGCATAAGTTTATCAGCAACAGTTAATGTTTTGCTTGTTCCTGTTGGTCCAACACATAGAACTGGACGATCCATACGTAGAAGCATTTCAATAATATATGCATTACGAATATTATCAATTGTTGGTACAAGTATATCTGAATATTTAGCATCATTTGGTATCTGATATGGTGGTAAATCAGCTAACCAATGTTTCCAACGAGGTCGACGTTTTTTACTTTCATCACTACTTTCTTCTTCACCAGTTTTGTCTTCTGGTGGTGATACAATACCACCATCATCAAAAACATAATCATAAACAAGTCCATCATCTGGAATTGGAATTTTAATCTGAATAAAAAAAAATAATGATTTTTGTCTTTAATTTAACTAAACTTATATTTATAAACGAAGAACAATGTGAGACAGTTAAAAAAAAACAAACAAACAATAGACTTCGTGTTCCTATCATGACTTGTTAAACCTTCGATAGAAATATTGAAAATTAATCAGGAGAGGTTTCTGGCAAATTTTCATTGATAGGTTTCTGAAAAAACAAAACTTCCAAAATTGATTTTCTAGATTCTATGAAAAACGTTTAGCAAATAAGTTTATCTGATAAAGAAAAAAACATTTCTGAACAAAATAAGATGTTTTCGAATTTCTTCATGACCTATCTTTAGTGAACATATAAATTTGAAAATCTATCTAAACCTACCGGGCTATGTTCAAATTTCTTTCGTAGCCATTCTGAAAATTTTCGACGTGAATCATTATCACATGAAGCACCAACAGACCAAATAAGTGAAAAGATAAACCATGGTTCAAGTAATTCACCTACACGTTCAAAAGCTTCAGGTGGTGCTGGTTTATCGGACTAAAAAATAAAATAAACATAAAACAAATTAATTGATATACATATACATAGATGATATATTTTATAATCTATATAAAGCATAATTGAGAAGCAAAAAAAAAATCAAACAACTCTATTGTTCTGATATATATATACATATAATTATAATAAAAACAATTAGTAGATTAAAATGATAATAAATTTCTATTAAGCAAACGAACTACTTCTACTTACGCGTCCTTGACGTTGACCTTTCTGTAAAAATAAATTTAAAATAATAATTTTATATTTTATTTTATGTCCTTTATAGTTTTCAATTTAAATATTAATAACTGAAAGAAAAAATACAACATTTTATCCATATCTTACTTCTCGTGGTCGAAATGGTTGAATAAAACAATCAAGCATTTTAATTAAACTAAATGTTAAATTACTATCATATGTTGGAATAATTTCTTTAACATTTTTTCGTATAAATTTTATTGATGCCTAAAGAAATATTTTATTATTTTTTTTATGCAAAAGAAATTATTTAATAGTTTAATTACTTCAAGATAAGTATCAAATAATTGCTTAATCGTATCATAATATTTAAATACAGCATCAGGTAAAGATTTAAGCCAACATTCAACAAATGGTTGTAGACCAAGTATCGATGGTTCTAAATAAACCATACCACAACGTGACACAGTAGCTGGTGATGCTTGAGATAAATCAGCTACTTCAAACATCATTGTCATAGCCTAAAATTATTTTTAAAACAAATATATTCATTTTTTTGTCTTTAAATCATACTTCAGTCATTTTGATAATTTCACCACTACTTAAACATAATTTTTTATTGTCATCTAATACAGTATTCATATTTTCAATCCATACAGCATCAACAGGCCCTATGAAGAAAAAAAAGTCAATTTTCAAAAACCAAAAGTTTAAATATACGCAAGACTTACCATCAAATATATACCATCGTTTATCATCATTTTCTGCAGCAACACCGTGCCGCATTAATGTTGAAAGTATACCATCAGTCCTGAAATTAAGAAAAAAAAACAATATTGTATTGATTTCATATATGAAATTGTATTTTTTGTTCTAGTTCAAAGCACCATTCATGTGTTAAATCATCGAATGCACCGTATAATTGACCCATAGTAATAGATTTTGGATTGAGTACATAAGTGTGAACAGGTTTGAATGGTGAACCAGCTGGATTGGTTTTTCCTTTCATATGTGTCATAGCAATTTGTAAGGATTCATAACTTTTCGTTTTTCCAGAACCAGTCGGACCGACAAGCATTAGACCTAAAGAGAAAAGAATTTGATAGACAGTTTGTCTCTCAACATATACATTCAGTTAAACCAGATGTATCTTTGCCTTTGGATATATCTCACAATATAAAGACATACAACGATTCTAATACTAAATAACTATAAGATATAATTGAGAACAACACACACCGCTGAAAGTAGATATCTCATGAAGTACACTTGTTAGACCCTTGCCATTTTTGCAAGCATGATATCTTTTAATTTAAAATTCAATTTCAAATAAAAAGAGGCCGTAGACTTTGAGGTTTACAGGATTTGAAGGGATGGATCAATGACTCAAAAGGCTAATTGAAAGATTTTTATTAAAGTTAATAGGATTTCGAGCTTCAGCATTTTTTGAAACTGGCCAGCAAAAATAAATCACTAGGAAAAAATGAGAGTTTTTTAAGGTTGGGATCAACCTGCTCGATAAACTTCTAAGCTAAACAAATAATAACATAAACTAAGAATATCTGTCGATAGTTTTCCATATATATATATATATTGTCTTTTTTTAATTTATAAAATTCTGAAGTTTACAAAGTCAAACAAGTTCTAAGTATGTGATCTTACCGTGTCGAACAATAGTAGTTTCGAATAATTGAATACATTTAAGTAAAAATCCAGGTACATCTTTAATTTTAAGTTGTTTACATGCATGGCGTAAACCTTCTTCGAGTATTTGATAATCAATAGGTTCTTCTCTGTTAAATAAAATATAATAATAATAAAACTATCATTTATAAATTAATTCGTCTTACTTAATTTTCGGGAAAAGATCAGAAACAATACCAGTAAATAATTTCAAATCATCTTGAAGAAACTTGGGAATATTAACATCACGAATAGCTCGCAGACAAATTAAATCCTAGATTTAATATTTTTATTGATCGAAAAAAGGAAAAAATCATTTTCTAACCTCATTCATATTTGAATATTGCCGTTTTAAATTACCAGCTGCTGATATAACTGATTTGACAGCCCGCATACCAAAATCGTAATGATCTTGTGAACTTAATTGTTCTGATGATAATTTAAATGTTTGTACAATCTTTTTAGCTAATGGTTTAGCATCCGAAAAACCAAATGAAAATAGAGAGTTTTCAGCAATAAGACCATAATCAGGAACCATCATAGCTAAAATAAATATATTAACTTACATGAACGAGCCATCTTTAATTGTACTTACCAACTGGTCGAAATAGAGCTTTAAGATTGTCAGGTAATTCAGTACTAAAATGAAATAAACAAATGTAGTCTATTATGAAGAATATTTTCTTCTACATACCGGCCAGCATAACCTGGATTCATTGTAATAAATACAGCACAGGATTGTTTGAGTACAATTTCTTTTCCTTCAAACATGAATCGTTCAGCCTAAATATAAGAAAATTAAATTAGTACATTCATAAAATAGAATTCGTCAAAAAAAATAATAATCAGCAAAAATCAAAATTTTCAAGGTTTTAGCAGCTTAATCATTATACACGAGTACGAAGAGTTAATTGAATAGTTAGTATTTGATTTGCCACTACCGACAAGACTTCAATGTTGATACGCTATATCATATATTTAAAAATATACATATATAAATGTATATTTCTAATGATTATACTAACATTGAATTCATCCAAACAACACCAACAACCACAACTGGAGAATAAGTGTATTTAAATTAGTTAGTGTAGATTATTATATGAATACAAAAATTTAAAAAAACAAAGAAAAATAATTAACGAATCATCGTTTTACCTTTTGCATAAGAGCCTGATTAATCACTTGAATTTGCTGAGCGACTACCGAAAGTACTTCAATATCGATACGATTAAATTCATCGAAGCAAGCCCATGCACCAGCACTGAAGTAAGAGACAGAGCAAAAATACTAAGATATGAGCTGAAAGAATCTAATTAATAAAGAATCCTATTGGAATCAATTTAGAAGCCCAGCTAAGAAAATAATCAACAAGAAGTCTAAATTTTGTTTTGATACCCGTAAATGAAGTGCACGAAGTATTGTCGCTATTTGATTAGCAATAACGCTCAATACTTCAATATCAATACGATTAAATTCATCAAAACACGCAACTGCTCCAGAACTTGATGAATTTTAATAAGATATTATAAATATGTTAGTATCAACAACTCAATAGTACTCACCTTGCTAGACCACAAAAAAATTTAGCCATTGCCTAGAATGAAAAATACAACACAAACAAAATTCGAAAAAAAATATTACAAAGAATTCTACCATAAAATCTAATTGATCCGAACAATTAAATACGACACATTGTACAGCCATAGCTTTGGCTAAATCTTTTGTTGTTTCAGTTTTTCCTGTACCAGCAGGTCCAGCTAAAATCATTTTATTTAAAAAAAGCAATGTATTAAACGATTATTAACTAATTTAAATTACCTGGTGCACCACCAAATTTCAAATGTAAAGCACCAGTTAATGTTAAATAACATCGATCTGTTAATGGAGTAATAACCAATCGTGGTGTATTACCTAAATATTCATAACCATATCGAAATTCAGCGTTGACAGCACGTATATATAAATGATCTTCATTCCAATAATAACGTAACTAAATAAGAATTTATGATTAATACTTGTTGTAGTTTTTTATTTTCATCAAATAGTTCATTTTACCTGTGATATCCATTCAAAATCATTTACATCCATAACTTTTTCTTCAAGAAGATTAATAACAACATCACGTGCATGTACTTCAATAACAATTAATGCTTTTAATGTTTCACGTGCATTATCTGTCAATTCTCCACGTACTAATTCTCGAAGTTCATCTAATTCATTTAATTGTTGTTTATGATATTTCTGAATTTCTCTTTTTTGTAATGCTTCAGATACTTGTTTAGTCCAAAATGTTTGTGAACCAGCTACAACAACTTGACCTGGCCAATATTGAACCCATGTTTTACGTGGTCGCTAAAATGAAAGAAAGATTAAATAATAATTCAGTTATTCATTTAGAATCTTTTCTACTTACTGTTACATAATCTTCTAACGCATCGTGAATAATTTGTCGTAATGTTTCACGCATAACTCGTTCAATTTCACACATCCAATCTTCAACATTACCAACTGGATATATATCTTTTCGAAAGTCAACTTCTTCTTGTTCAGCTGAATACATTTTTGAAATACGCATATCATCTTCAAATTTAACCTGAAACATAAGACATAATAATAAAGATATTTCACAACGATCGTAATACACAGATAGAAATCTTTGATTGATTAAATAAGTAAAGTAAACAAGCAAGTTTATGATTAACTATTAATAGTAAAGGAAAATTATAATCTCCTTTCACATAAGGAATAGTAGTTCACTAGGTTTGTAATTTGTTTCGCAAATATCATTGGATTCGCTTACAAGTACATCAATGCACAAGAGTCGATGAACTGAAGTTTTCAAACTCCTTGGGAATATTGATACGAAGTTTGGAAGTTACCAACGAACTAAGAATTGACTTCTATACTTTACTAGTTCCTTATTATCAGATAACCTGAATAATGCATTCGTTACACTACTTTTCTCATTTACACGTTTATCTGCCATCAACATTTTGTGGACTTTAATATAGAAATTGTTGAATCAGGCTCATTACGACATTTTGGTTTGAGAAACTTTCGAGCTTTGGTAGTGTTGAGATAAAACCTCTTTGACACAAAAATTATCTTCAAAAACATATAAAGTAAACGCTTTAATATTAAATGAGAGTTTCTCACTTTTATGAGACAGAGAATTTAAACCTTATGAATGTTTCAATAATAGATATCGTACTCATCTGGTACCAACACTTGTTTTTGACTTCAATAAACTCGCGTTATTTCAAGTGACCATCGTTCAGCTTTGTGAGACATCTCATTTTTCAATCAAAAATTTATTCATACTGCTGTCATATAAATTTACAACGTTTCATTTCTAAGTTGTATCTAATCTCACAACAGGAAGCAGTTCGATAGAATGGTATTTAAGCATACCTATTTTCTTATATGCCGATTCTTGAACAACTATCTCTCATTAATGTGCATTTGTACATATTTCTCGGTTCATGACAAAACGTCTTTGTTCATTAGTTGAAAACATGTAGAACAAACGAAATGGTATACACTAAAGAAATTCCAATCAAACAGCGAAAACCGATGCATTAATCTATTCGATATTTTACATTGCGATTTTGCGGTTATTTTGGAAAAGGTAGATTTCAATTACATTTGAAAGATTATAACCTTGAGACTGGACTTGCTTTCTGTGCGAATAGGAGCGAAATTAATAATTATTTGCCCATACTCTCAATGATGTTCTTTCATCTAACAACATACTATACTTTCTGATCATTTTAAGTAGGTTTCTTATTTCGGTCGAGACAGAACTTTTCGCAGAAAGTATCAGTTCTTGTCTGTGTTGGCTATTGATTTTGATATAATGCAAAACAATGGTCTTGACACAACGTGTTTCGAACTGCTATCTTTGAATGATCACAGTTTATTTTTGATGATACAATACGACGGCTCAATCAATTAAGATTGATTCAGCAAAAACTAAAAATTCTTCAAGTGAGCATTTAATTACCAATGCAAATCGTTTTCTTTTCTTTCGATTTCGGTTTAATTAAAATTTTCAATGAAGATTATTTTAACTAATTTTTCTAAACTAATTGTAAATTAAAATTGAATAACTTACTTTAGTAATATTTTCAAAACATTTTCTTAAATGTGGTTGAACAGCTTTAGGATCTTTTGTTTGTGATAAAATTTGAAGTAATTCATCATCAGATAAGAAATAAAATCTTGGAAATGCCATACGTTTTGTTTCTAAATATTCACTTAAACCTTTTTGTACTTGTTCAAGTAATTTATTAGCTTCACGTAAATTATCACGTAAACGTGCTTCAGGACATAATGATATAACTTCAGGATTATCTTTAGCTTGTTTCATTACTTTACGCCATATACGTTCCATTGTTTGATATCGTTTTGATTCAACAGGTAATTGTCGAATAATATCTTCCGATGAAAAAATTGGTTCAAGATACTAAATTTTATAGAAAAAGAAATATTTATTTCTTTATTTTTTTTATTTTGATAACTACAAACCAGCCATGAACGTTGACAAGCAAGCCATTCATCTAAAACTTCTTGTGTAATTTTTAATTTATTTTCCCATGCAGCAATACGTTCTTCAAATGCTTTTTTAAATGGTGAAAATGACATTGATTGTGTAGCAACAATATGATCATCAAGCATTTGTGATATTTCTTCAGATGCTTTTATTATAAATGTACCAGTTTGTTTATATGGTAAAACATCAAATCGTACAGATTTCCATTCATTTTCCATTTTATCAAGTTGTTGTTCAATAGAAAATTCTTTTCCAGCTTTTTCAGCTACTTTTGATATCATATCAATATATTTTTGTAAACCCATTTCTAAACATTTCGAAAATGTTAATTCTTTCTTTGGTCGCACAGGCATTTTAACCAATTCTGAAAGCTACAAATTTCAAATTTCGTTTTATATTAGTTACTAATATAAAACAAAAAACAATTAATAAACAAACCTCTTCCCAATGTCGATTGCGCATACCAGGCGCACGTAATGCTTGTATTAATGGAATTGAAGGTTTGAAATCTTCAATTTGACCTTTAACTGTTAATGCAATCTGTTGAATACCTATTAGGATTGAAATAAAAATTAAAAAAAAGAGAATTTTAATACAAACAATGAAGATATAAATAAATAATGTTTATAATGGTACGATATACAATACAACAATCATGCGGGCTTTACGTTCATGCAGAACAAAAGTATTATAAAAAATAGGTTTTTTTTTTCGTTGTAGAATTTCATAGTACAAATAGAATATATATGCATATAGAGAAACCTCGCATATTTTTTACATCAGGATCAATTGCCTGAGCAAAAAGAATGAATCTTGCTGAAAATATTGGGAAATATGATAAAAATAAATAATATACTTTTAAATCAAATTTCTTTTTGTTTTATAATTACCTTCATTGTCTGTAAAGGTTTTGATGGATTTATGCATATTTTTATACCTAAGATGAAAATAAAACGTAATGAGAATTTAATGAAAATAGAAAAAACATACATTTCAGTAACATTCTTTTCAATATCTTCAGCATTGACTGAAATAATGGGATCATTCATCCAACTATCATGTGAACGAAGCCAATCAGATGCTGTTGACCAAAGAACACGATATGGTTCAAAATCTTTAAGAAGTTTAGCCAATTTTTCGTACTATAATGAGTACAAAACTAATCGTTGTTTCTATTCTTTATTCTAGAATGCACTCACATTAGTTACAGGTAAACCAAGTAAACGTTCACGATTATTATATGTTTGTGCTGATTCTTGACATTCTTTAAGTGCTTTATTAAGTTTACGACATTCATTAGCCACTTCATGAGCTCGTTCAATACTCGTATGTGCTGAGAGACCAGCAACAGACATCTAATTAACAAATAAATAAACATTTTGGAATTCAAAAAAGAAAACATAAATTAATACGAACTGTAAGTTGATCCATTTTATCATTAAGTGCTGCAGTATCTTGCACTTGTAATTTTTTAAATCTTTCTTCATCTTCTTTATGTTGTTCTTCAACTTGTTCAAGCATTGTTCGAATTTTCCATGACCATGCTAAGAGACCATATCTTAAATAATATACAAGATAATTAAAAAATACAAATCACAGAATTAATCAAATTTTTATATCATACTTCATAGCAAAATCTTCATTGCTTAAATTATAATAAAATTCATCTAGCATTGTAAATTCATCAAGTACTTTATGTATATCATCCTTGATAGAAAAAAAAGAAGAATAAAGAAAAAAAAGTAAATTAAATAAAAGAATTTTCTTACTTTTTTATCATCTAATTGTTCTGGTACTGATTTCATCCATTCTCGGTGTTCAGATAAATCTTCAGCTGTATTTGCTTTTTCAAATAATTTCCGTTGAATATCACGAAATGTATCATTTAACTAAAATATAATATTCATATTTAATATTTTCTGCCAAATAAATAATTATATAAAAAAGAATACACACTAAATTAAGCCAAGTGTTCTTTTTTCAGTGTTATTCAATAAATGTAGACTATCTTTAAAAGTTTTGTATAAATACTAGCAGTCTATTAGTAGCATGTTCGCATTAAGATACTTCCTAGTTCTTATAAGAAGGTAAGAGAGTATACACAACGAACTGAATTTTTCAAGGACAAGTTTAGGTCAGTATGAAAAAGCTATTGATGTAGTTTCCACTGCTAAATACACGGAGATATTATTCTATCTATTGTTGGATACATTTCTTCATCGAATGTTTACTTAATTCTTCAGAAATGCAATAAGGACATATTTCGAATGTTACAACACGACGTTATCGACATACTGCCATTAATAATTTCTTGCTAGCGTCCGTCAGGGAGGAATATAAATCTCTACAATATACACTTCAACACTCCATTTACATCGTATTTCACAAAAACTATAGGCCGATTCCACCGGAAAGAAATACTAAAGATCGAACGCACTGTTCCAGGCAAGAAAAATCTTCCGATTTTTCTAGTAAAATCTCGCCAACTCCTTATTATTTTCATTAAGAAGTGATCAGCATAACTCGAAGACTTTCCATCCAGGAATATTACACCATGTTTATTGCCGAATTTATCTACTTAAATATCTCAAGGTAAAAATATGAGCATTTTTGAGTAAGTCAATTTAAAACTTTTCAAAAGCCTTTTCCTTGTCAATAAATAAAATTCATACTTCTTCTGTTTTTGTTCTTGCTTTTCGTGTTTGACTTAATAATAAAGCTTCAATTAATAATTTTCTTTTATTTGATAAAGCTTCACGTAATTTTTGTGCAAATACATAATAAGGACCAATAACAATTGATACGGGAATATTTTTTTCAAGTTTATCTTTTTCACGTACATGCATTAAAATTTCATTTCGATATTCTTCAATGGATTTTTCTGTTTTTTCAAAATCTCTACAAAATACAACAAAATAAATAGAAAAACTCATTAAATCATTCAATCCTGATATTTTATATCGACTAACTTTATATAGTTATCAGTATTAAGATTCATTAATGCTACATAAGGTTCATAAGCTAAACAAGACAAAAATAATGAAAAAATTATTTAATTCAATAATATTTTACCTTCAGCATAAGCTTTTAATGGTATAAGTGAAGCTTGAACAGCTTTTTGTAAAGTTTCTCTCCATTCAATAACTTTATTTTCTTGTAAAGCAACTGATTCTAATTTTAACATTTCACCACCCCAAAAAATATTTTCCATTATATCCTTAAATATAATATTTCATCATGTAAAAAACGAAAAAAAAAAATTTTTGTTTTTTTTTCTTCATACTTTTTCAATTTGTGGTATAGCTTGTGTTTGTACAATAGCACGATCAAATGCACCCAAAATAAGATTAGAAAAACTTTCATATGATGTCATATAACGAGGACCAACTTGATCAATAGTTATATCCAAATGAAATAATGGGTTTTTTGGTGGTCTAAAAGACAACAAAAAACAATAATATTTCCTCTAGTGTATGAAATTTATTTCGATTAATATTTACTTATATGGACTATTAATTAAATCATTTTGTGGCCATTTAAAACCTTCTTTCATATTTAAAACAGGTGAACATGCATCTATTATCATTCGAACATAATTTTGACATGAATCTTGTACAAGAAAACGGAGTGTATCTTGCATCATAAATTTAACACGTTCAATGAATTTTTTTAATTTTGATACTTGATATATGTGAAAATCAGATTCATTTATATTATACCTATACGAAAAAAAACCAGAGAATATTTTACATTTAATTCATAGTTTAGATATTTACCATCCACGTCCAACATCAATAAATTTTGTTTTAATACCTTGTCGAAGATTATTTTTCCATGTATCAGTTAAATACATATGTGTCTAAGAAAAAAAAAACTTGCTATATAGAAACGAACGTATATTTTCGAAGGGAATAATAAGTGAAAGTTCAAATCGATGTTTTTGTGATTCATCATTCTTCCTACCGTGGATACTTGATGAAGAATCTATTCTAGCTCTTTAAGGTTTCGGGAAAATGATGGGCCCAAAAAAAAATAGTCAAGGTTTTGTCATGTTAGAGGAGAGTATCTTTTTTTCCGAGGAAAGTAAAAAGACCAATGGAATAAATCGTAGAGCTTTTAATCTGGAATTTTCTAGAATCTTTCAAAGCATTCTATGGCTCTGAAATGTCTTTTGTAGATTCTAACTAGTCTAAATATTTCAGGCTTTGATATTTAATGCAATGAAAGTATCTTATTGTAGGTGGCAATCAGTAGAACCATAGTATTATTGATCTCGTAGAATCAAAAGAGGAAAGACATAGAAAAGAATGCATTAATCGAATTATATGTTTAGCCCAGAAATGTTAAATGATTCTAATAAATTGATAGAATAGGAATTCTAAATACAAACATTTTCAAAATGATAAAATTTCAGAGTACGTCTATCAATTATAAAAATTGTTATAAACTTGATGATATTGCTTTTAAAAATAAATTATTTTAACCTTTCTACAAGAATATAACATAAATTTATAATAATCAGAGTTTGTAGTATTCTACCTTAGATTCCTCATAGAACCTTATTGACAAGTTTCTTTACGAATACTTTCATAAACTTACTGTTGATGTTTGATTAAATTGCATGCTTTCGAATTCATCAAGTTTAACATGTTTTGGAATAGTTTTTTGTAATAAACTTAGATTATTAATAACATAATCACATTCAGTTCGAACAAGTTTTAAAGCATCAATAGCTGGTTTTGATGTTAATAATGAAATAAACTAAAACAAAACAAAACAAATAAAATAAAATAAAATAAATAATTTAACAAACTTTAAATTGATCAAAAACTTCATTAAATGAATATTCAGGTATGTCAACACAAGCAGTACGTGGTACACCTCGACGTTGTTTTATTGGTAATGTAATAAATGCAAATGATATTGGATCTGATTGTGTAACTTCTTCAAATATCATTGAATTCATTGTACGAGCATAATCAAGATTTACTTCTTCAACTATTGGTGTCACATATTCATCTTTACTTTAAAAAAACAAAAATCATAGTACAACAATTTTAAATTGCATAGATTAGAACACAATAAATTACATACACTGTTTTTGATATAGCACTTGTTTTTGTTAATTCAATCATTCGTTTTATACGTTCATCATCAAGTTTACCAATACCATCAATTGGCATACAATCAATAAATAATGCCGAACGAAGTTCAGCTTCCGTACGTTTTCGATCACGATATGCTTTAGCAACACGATCAGCAAATATACGTGGATCTTCAGCAAGAAAGCATAATTGAACACGTGGTACCCAATAACGACCATGACTACGGCTTGAATGATGACTACTGTGACCTATAGAAATGCAACAAAAAAAAAGTTTGGAGACAAAAAACTCTTTGTTTAGTAAGTTTGTATTCAAAATTTGCAAAAACAGGACATGATCATCTTCGATTTGACTTTTATTGTTTATAAGAGTTAGTTTTTGAATAAGTTCTTTTTCTATAAATCTATGTAAAAATATTATCTTTTGTAGTTTACATCTAATTAAACTTAATCAAAACATTATTAGCGAATAATATGCTGACCTTATGACAGAAAAGTTCAAGAATTTGCGAATAGACTCTCTGTCATAGACTGAGTCTATGGTGAAATTTTCAGCAAGATCGGAATATCAAAACTTGTCCTAGCCATAAATACAGATTTTCCGAAGATCTGCCTTTGTAACGTTTAGAACATCTTTTTGTGAACTTCTCATTCAGTTAGAATAGGATTTTTTTTTGTTTCTCTATTTGTATTCACTTATGTCACTAACAACAAATAAACTTAATTTTTTGAAGCACATAAGTATGCTCAGCTAAAAGTTTGCTTAGATGTTTTGTACCGTAAAGAGTTCACTACAAAATACATTATTTATTTTTCAAAAGTACTATTGAATTCGCATTATCAGTGGATGAAAAAATTACGCAGCGAAAACCTTTGTTCCTTTTTTTTATCGTGTCACGTTGTTAACGTTAGTTTTTCAATAATAACTTGCTTGAACCAAAGTCTATAGGACTGAGTTTTTCAAGATATCTAGAATAAACTCAACACATATATGTTACATGAAAATTAATCAAAATCACATCGCAAACGAATGAAATTGCCCATTTACTCAGATTTCTTGTCGTCTAACAAAAATAAATCATCTATCGAATTTAAAAAATTTCACTGCATATCATGTCACTCTGATTAATCATTCGGATAGGCTATTAACTTCCATAAAAGAAAAAACTAGATAAAAAATTCATTTATCTAGATCTTTTTTTTCGAAACTAACCATTTGAGGCTGCGTTTTCTGGTGTTTGTCGTTTTCCTTCAATAGCTTCCATCTGTTTACGACTTCGTTTGCTTGGTCGGTACATATCAAATACATTATGTTCTCTATCATCAGTTGTGACAAGCCATAATTGTTTTTCAGTGTCATAATCATGAATACTCACATTTCTCCAATTAAAATGTAAATTACTATCTTTTATATCATCTAAAATTTGAATAAAAAAATGTATAATAATACATTCAAGAAAATGATCATTACATACAAATTTCAGATGCTGGTACATTAGGTAAAAGTGCAATACCAGGTAATGGTTTATTTAAACCAGTCAATGGATCATGACCTAAAGCAAGCCAAGCTTCTGATGTCCAAATTTCAAAATCAGTATCATCAAAATAATGTAATGGTAAAAATGAATCAAATGGTGCTGGATCCTATATACATCGAAATTCAATTTAATTTATAGATTGCAAAGAAAAAAAAAATAATATATTACTTCGTTTGGAATATTTAATGTAACAATTTGATCAGCTGGTACATATTTAGGCATAAGTTTATTTGTATCAATATGTCGTTCTTCAAGTAAGGTTGGTAAATCAAGTGAAAGAAAAAGACGTTTTCGTCTATAAAAATTCAAAACAACAGAAAAAAATAGATGAATGAGACATATATTTAATTTAATTATACCTTTCAATTTCAACTTTTCTTGGTAATGTATATGGTGCCGTATAAAATGGCATAAATACTTTTGGTTCAATTGTTTTTTCCAAATATACATCACTTCGTTTGAATTCTGTAGTAAATTCTCCTTGTCTACTATTAGCTAATAATTGTGCAACATCGATTCCTTGTAAATCGAAGACACTTGCTAAAATTTGAATTAGAAAAAAAACAAATAAAATTTTGCTAGATTATTTAATTTTAAATTCACGAAACGAGAAACGTACCTCGAGCTGTATTTGATAAACGAAATGTTTCACGTAGAACATCATCATGTGCAATAGGTACTTGTCTAGCAACCTAAATTTTCTGCGTAAAAATTTTATTTTAAAAATTCATATAATTTTACTTCAAATTTTGAATCCGGATTAATTGTTGCTAATTCAGAATAATATCCACGTTCTCTTACTTCTCGATTGGGAGTAGCTTTATCAGTTCCATTATCATTTTGATTTACATTATTATGTAAACGTGATGAGCGAGCAGACCGATGTCCGTTCTCTTGAGGCATCGTTGAAATCTAGAATATTACAAAATGTTTTTTTCTTTCTCGGTTTCTACGTTGTTCACTACGAAATATTCTTCTTTTTCTCGTTGATTCTATATAGACATTAACATTTATATGTAAATGATGTTGTCATAGAAATATTCTTTGTTCTTTTTTTATTTCCATTATCAAAGATGTCAGTAGTACATGGAACATTTTAAACAAAAGTCGTTGATTTTAGCGTTGTTGTTCAAAGTACCATTTCCCATCAATAATGCATTGGTGCATTCGATAAAAAGAGATGATCGTGGTAGAGTTTGAGATAAGCTTTTGAGAAATTATTAAAGGCTGTTTGAAGTATATGTAGTACATTCAATTGATGTCGTTGAGTATAATCTTGTTGTGTTGATATTTCAGTTTTAGCAGTAGAAAAGAGTAGTTGAATGTGTTTAGATTTACAGAATCAACTCGATCAAAATATAATTCTGTATGATTTTTGGTGGTTGAATGTTTGAGAGCCCATGAATGTCCATGAGGTCGTACATAAGTGACGCTGCGGAATAAATTTAGAAGAGGCTTGAGATAAAGGGAATAGCGGTTTGACTTTTACAATCTTTTAGCTTTTTCAACGAGTCAAGAAAGCAGAAGCAGTTTCCACCTTTCAAACATTATCTTAGGCTTGTCTCCGCCCCTTCCAAAATACTAGTTTCGCTACTGAATTAAAAATAATGTTAACTGTTTTTAAATTTCATGACAAATACAACCTTGGCACTAGAACATCGAACAAAATAAACTAAAACATCTATCAGAATTTGGTTGTTTGTCAACAAATAATACGACTAACTCAACCTTCAAAGAGTTAAGAGCTGCTCGATAAAGTTCTTTTCTGATGTGAAACAAGCAAGATACGGTTCAGTATCGATTTATGCATGAAAAAACTTTAATCAAGATTCCTTGATCTGTCTATCGTTGCGATATTGCTAAACTTTCTAATGTCTTTCAAGAGTTTGCTCGAAAATTTTATCTGAATACTCACCTTTTGTGTTGTTCTTCAACATAAGCATAGGTTTGCCTTAGAAGTTATGATTGTCACAGACCTTTTTAAAATTGTCACTTTTTTCATGACAAAAGAAAGATATTTATTCAGTCTTTATTATACCGTCAGAGATTGATTTATAAAAAACATAGACTGAATTCAGCTTCTTCAAAGCTAAGAACCCTATCGTCTATGGACTAAGACGTGTAAAAAAATACAGTCTTGTAGATGTACCATCTGACATTTCACTGAACACAACCTTCAGAAAATGCGAGATGACTCTTGTTCAAAGAGTTTTCGTTTACCACATATAACTTTTGAAGGAGATCAATAGAATTTTTTCAAACACCTAAGCTTTTCCAAACCTGAGAGTTCTGTCGTCTATGTTTTGCATTGAATTGATGTGCAAATCTTAAGTGTGCTGTTCTCAAATTGTTCTCTCGTTCTGATCAACGAATATAAACAAAAAGAGACAAAATTCATTTACTGAATAGTCGCTGAGCATTGAAGAGAAACATGATGTAATTCTTATTCAATGTCTAAAACTATTTCTGATGTCACATGAATGATTGTTCTGTGAGGTTTTGTCTAGACCAAAAGAAAAACAATGCAGAAAATCATTTCAATTCTTGATGAAAACTGGTATAGGAAAACTAAAATTATCCTGTAATAAAAAGAGAAAAGTTCTTGAGTATTTGAATCAATTCATTTATAAATGAAAGAAAAATAAGTCGAAATGTGCGAATACCAAAGAAAATAAAATTATTTTTTCATTTTTGACTCAATACGTTGAATGTTTTCTTTTATTTTGATTACATTCGGATGCGTAGCAGGATATATACTGCAATAGATCTGGTATGCATCTCTATAAAATACTAAGGCATCATTGAATTTTCCCCCGTCATCATAGATGGCACCTATATTATTATAAGTCGATGCAAATTTTGGATGTTGTGGAGGAAGAGTTTTTTTATAGATTTTGAGAGCTTCTTGGTAAAAAAATATCGCATCTTCATAAAGTCTAAGTAAATAATAAGCATTGCCAATATTATTGTACGACATGCCTAAAGATGTTTCATCAGATGGAAAATACTTTTTGCGTATTTCAAATGCTTTGTTATAATAGTCAAGTGCTTCTTTGTATTGCTTTTTTTCTTGATAGACAATACCAATATTGTTGTAGCATACAGCTTGTTTTGCAAGCGCTTTGCCTGCTGGATCTTTTCCTAACGCTTCTAATGCTTTATCATAATATTCGCGTGCTTTAACATCATCACCTTTCTTTCGATAAATTTCTCCAATACTATTATAATTCGATGCAGCATCTGAATCTTGTCTACCTCCTTTGCTTATATTGATATTAAGAGATTCATTGTATAATTGAAGACTAGTCTCATAATCACCTTGTTCATCAGCTATACTTCCAAGTGCTTCATAACAACGAGCTCTATCTGGATGATCATATGATAATCCATCAAGTAAACGTTGATAATAAATCTTTGCTTCTTCAACTTTACCCATTGTCATAAGTACATGACCAAATGAAAGAAGTTGATTTTTGTCACGACTTAAATCAATTTGTTCACTCTTCTCAGAGTATAATTTTAATCGAACTCGCCATATTTCTTGATTATCAGACCAAACTTGAACGATTTGAAAAATCGATCCTAACATAAAAAGTATTTCGTCTTCTTGATCATAACTTAGTGATTTGATATTAGCAAATGGTTTATCACTGCTGACTCTAGGATCAGCTTCAATTTCGAATAAAACTCTTTCGAGTCCATCAGAATTAGGAAGATATGAAACAGCTTTGTCTTCAAACATAGTAGCTGAAAAGAATGAATTAATCGAGATGAATTGTCCAACAGAGTTTTTCAACTTTCTAAGTTTATTATTTGACATTAGTTGACTTCGATAGGCGATTGTTTGTACTTTACATCGATGTTTTTCGAGTTGTTGTCGAATATCAACAATAAAAAATTGAAATAAAAATAAAATATCAATATTTTGTGTTCGAAGAGCTTTATTTAATAGTCGAGACAGAAATGAGTCTCTGATATACCACCAAATAGCCCAATCTGGTGAATAATTTCGTTCGAACTCTTCAATAATTTTGATTTCAGTTCGATTCTTTTTCTATATATCTTTACTCTGTGCTATCAATCCTGTCTAATTGTTCACCTCCGGTTTCATTTGAACGAAACAATTAATTAATAGTTGGGAGTCAACAAGATGACCTTGAAGATCAGCTGTAAGTTTTTCATGAACAATCTTTGGATCAAAAATACTAATTTGTAATGACTCGTAAATTCTATTTTGCTGTTGTTTTTCATGATCGAACTGAATTCGAGCAATAAGTTCTTTTACATTTGTAATAATAGCTTTTACATAAGAAATTATGTAATCACACGTAGGATTTTTAAATAATATTATTTCATTATCTTTCGATATTCACTAGACCATCGTTTATTTGAATTTTGGTCATAACAATAAATATATATGTATACAAGTTGTTCAATAGAATGAATAATAGGCATTGTTTCCATCCAACTCTTCACCAGCAATTAAAACAATTCGACTCTCCTTTGGCACATTTCATATGTATTGTACACATCAATCAGGATTTTCAAATGTTTTTAGTTGATGGATTGTTGTTCAAAGTTTTTCTTGAGCTGGCCGTTTAACTTATGTCTTGTTACTGAACTATCAAGCCAAAGAAAAGAGATGGTTGCTAAATTGTCGTCTGAGGACGTAATAATCTTATCAAGAATCCATCCTATTGTTGCGAACTTCTAGTCTGTTTTGAAAATTAAAATTTTATGCATCGTTAAACGTGAGAAGAAAAAATTGTCTTGTTAAATAAATATTAGTCTGATAAGCATAGTTTTTCATTATTTTACACATATGACAGAAAAAGCAATATTTTTTCTATTGCTACATCTTGTGGAATCCTAAATGAAACAAATGGTATGAAGAACAGAAATATGCGTGTTGTAAAAAAAAGTTTCGAGTCTTATGTTCTTTTGATTTAAAGCACTGATTGGACTACTCAAAAGACATTGATAAACGGGTAGCATGAGATGTACTTCCTTTTGGCACATGGTATTATGAGACATATTTTCTTGACGCGATAAAATTTTTTTTCTAAAGTGAACAATGGAAATATCAAAACTATTTGTTTTATTTAGATAAAACAGAACAAAAGAAGGCAACAACAAGATGAATCAATTGATATTATCTTAGTATTTTTCGTTTTCACCCAAACAAAACATATTATCTCGTGTTTGCCTAGTGAAAATCGAGATATTGAAAGTCAACATTTTTTTGAAAACTTCCATTACGCAGCTGTTGGCAGGCCAATTTTCCTAACTAGATACCACTGATATAGGCTTGATTAGGCTATAGTTTATATTAAAAACTGACGTGATGTGTGTGTTTGAGCTTTTGTTTCGATTAGCTTTGACTGTCTGAGACTTCTGTTGTAACAGTCGAACTTTTGACTACGCTTTCTATTCTCTATTCTAATGATATAAACATGATCAATCACTAGTGATTTATACCAATACAAGATTGAAATATGTCTATTTGGACCTCTGCAACAATTGACGAGATGATTAAACACGGAACTAATGCCAATCGTCGATGAATCAATCGTGCATTTATCGAGCATAGAACTTTGTAGAAATTTTTAACACATAAGGCTAATTAAAATAATTTCTAGTGACATTAGGCTCAGAGTGTCTCCTATGAATTTCTATGTTCAATGAGAACCACCTACAATTATTACTCAAGACAACATCTTTTGCGTCAACAACAGTTGAAGGACAACCGAAACAGGCAGCATGAATTTTCTCTATCATACTATGTTTGTGCTAAAAGTGCATGGCTTTTCATGTATGTTGAATCAATATTCTGTGTACATAAAAGTGCAGTTCAAGATTGTTCTTGAGAGTCATTTAAAGAAAATGTATGACTGATCTGAAAGAATAGTTAAAAACAAGACGTTTTTCAAAATGAAAAGATTTGACATTTACACCTAATCCTAGATATGATGATGATGTGTCATAGCAGGATACTTGATCTGAATATACAACGTTTAACAAGGCCAGAAGAAAATAACTTTTTTATTGCTCTATGTATACATATATATATGTATATATCATCGAGGATGCAAAGAACACGAGATTAATGTATTTATAATAAAGAACGACAAAAAGGTCATAATTATTTGTAGCTGAATAGACAAACGATGTTTATCCTTCTGTTTTTCTTCATTGGTTTGATTTTATCAGATGAAATATCTTCTAAATTTTATTTTTCTGGATATCGAGATTCATTTAAAGCTATTTATCACAATTTATCAAATACAAATATTATTCTTTCGTCACCTCATGCTGGTAGTGATATACCAAATGATATACCCGATCGTACAATTGGTGGTTGTCAACAAAATAGTTCAAATTTATGTACATTCTATTTTAATGATACATGTTTAAATGGAAATCGTTGTTCAGTTACAGTCCAACAAGATTTTGCTAGTTTTGATCAATTTACTGAACAAATAACTGATGAATTTATTAGAAAATATAATCTTCTACCATTTGTTATTATTGCTAAATGGAATCGAAAAAAAATTGATTTTAATCGTGCAATAAATGAAGCTACATTTAATCATCCACAAACAATTGAATCATATAATGCATATCATAATTATTTAGAAAAAGCAGTAGAAATAATTCAAGAAAAATTTCATGGTAAAGGCTTATTACTTGATATTCATCAGCATGGACAAGGGAAGTAAGATTTAGAAAATTATTTTGGTTTTTCGAAAGACAAAAAAAAATTTCTTTTTTTTCTTGTAGCTATACAATGATAGGAACTCGTCTATCTGCTGTTCAACTAAATAATGATGATTTATCAACTACTTCAATTGAATCTCTTATTGAATTATCATGTCCAAATAATCGAAATGAATGTATACGAGGTTCGAAATCGCTTGGAACCTTTTTTGAATCAAATGGTCTCGGTATATCATATCCTTCGTTAAATAATCCAAAACCGAACAAAAATATATTTTATAAAGGTGGTTTTATAACAAATCATTATTCATCAAAAATTAATGTTATTCAAACTGAACTTTCATATGTTGTACGAAATGAATTCGATCCAAAGATCTATGTTGAAAAATATGTTCAAGCTTTGATTAGTTTTATGAAAGTAAATCAATTATTACAATAAAAAATACCATTGTTCAGTGTTTATTTTTTTTATCTTGATTATAATTGATACAAGCATTCAAAATTGTCTTCCAAATGTTTAATTCATTTTCATTTTGTGGAGCATAAATTAATAAATACGTATCTGGAACAATTATTTTATTGAATAAAGTCCTCCCAACCAACGGAAATTTTTCAGCCCATTGTTTATTAATTAATAATTTAGCATCGGATGGATGTAATAACATATGAAATGAGCCATCATTTGAATGTAAATGTGCAAATTCACCATTTCCAATTGTATTTTTATCTGGATTTGGTATAAATAAAGCATCAGCACCAGTATATTCAACAGTTGATTTACCACGCAATAATAATTGATTATTAATTGTTTGTCCACTATATCTTGGTATTGATATTGATTCCATATGTTTATGCATTTCATACATAATATCATCAGGTGCTTGTTGAGTTAATTGACGATGAGGTAGACCACGTAACATATTTGGTCGTGATTGCTTACGAAATGGAATATCTCTGTCATTTAAATATCCTGAATCATCTGTTGATTTGAAATTATCTGTACGAAGACAATATGACTCTTGTGACCAACCTTTGAAATTGACAAAACATGTTAAAAGCCATAAGAAATAGTTTGGTTTTTCTCTTAAACCGGATGCATATTGATTGTAACTTCGTCTAAATAGAACGAATAATATTGCGAGTAAAGCGAATGCAACGAGTAAAATCATTTTTTCCCTCTATAAACAGCGTATGTGCGTTGCTTCGTGTGCCCGTTACATTTATATGATACGATGATAGTCTACAGGCAAATAGCAATGAATCATTGATTCATTATCAAATGAAATGCGTAAATGTGTTTTGATTGGTCAGTTGGTGTCGATTATTTTGACATATAGACAGTTTTTCAAACAAAACTTTGAAGTGTAGTCTGATAGAAAATAATTTCCTCTATCGATTAGTGTCAATATTATTCTCGGTCTCAGTCGGATTTGCAAGAAAACTCACTGTAGACGATCTGTGTTTTAATTGGTCCTATTGTATCGATTATTTTGAGGTATAGACATTTTTTTGAAAAAAAACCAAAAGTGCAGTTCGATAGAATTTTTTTTTCTCTATCGATTACAATCATTTTCGTATTCGGGCCATTACAAAGTCTGAGTCAGCGCCACAAATATAGCATTTAATATTGATTCGTCTAAATATAAATCTTTTTTTGTGATGTACTTCCGTTCTATTTCATACTTTTCGTACGTTTGATAACACTCCTTGCCTTCTAACTGACGTCATATGCATTATTTCTCATGCAGTATCGAAGGAAAGTTTTATTTAGTACATAGTTATCATATATATATAGAACATTTAAGTTTTTTGAATCAATTATATTGAAACAATTCTTCGACACATGCAACTATAATCAATAGATCGTAATACCATTGGTTCCATAGTTTAAATTAGTATACATTGATTATTTCCTTTTATTGAATTGTTTTCAAAGAATTATAATTGATTAAATTCCGTTGAAACGAAGAAAAAAATTGTATAAATAGAAAATTTCACCTAATTGTGTAGTATTTTATTGAAAAA